ATGTACCTTGCCCTGGATCTGTGTGTATTGGATACTGTTACTGAACACAGAACTCAACTTTGATGATTTAGGGATTCAGGTCTACCTGTAAGACCTAAACAAGGTAATTACCAAACTCTAGTCACAGTTTAATGAAAACAGCACTGACTTGATTTATCAGTTGATTGACTGGTTGACTGTGGTGCTAGGGATGGAACCCAGAGTCTTTGGACTTGTGCTCCTCCTCCTTCAGCCTTGGTTCTCTTTGCTCCCTACGCCCAGGAGCGCTGCACACAGTCGGCTGCTTAATTTGGCTGCTTTTGTGCCGGAGGCCCAGAAAGCTTGCAGGGTGCTGAAGGCACTGTCCCTGTACCCCTTGCTGCCTTAAACATCTGTTTCTTGTATTATGTTTAGTAATTTGCCTTCTCAGTTTTTCTTTACTCTTATATTTTACTAAAAGCAGCAAGGAGAAACCGGGCTGTGCCGTCAAGCCTTTGCACACACACACACACACACACACACACACACACACACACACACACACACACACAAACACACACAAACACACACAAACACACACATCACTTATAAATGGTTTTCTGCCCATTAGTAGATTGTAGTTCATCTACAATGTCTACCACTCTGTCTAAAGGCAGAAGTCACCTTTATTTTTCAAAATCATGTTCTTCATTTTCCTCTGTGCCCTTCCCAGAAGCACTGTTAGTGTTCACGTTTGCACCAGTTTTCTGTTTGTTGAGCCATTTTTACTTTAAAATGAGGCCTTTTCCCCCCAACGTTCTTTCCTTGTCGTTGTCACTTTATGGAAATGTCCATATTACAGTACAACAACGCAGAGCTCTTCAGGGTGTAGGCTTCTTTCTCTCGCATCCCACAGTTCTCACAGGCCTGCCATTCTCATGCCGCCTCTGTCTAGTCAGATCTTGTTGAAGACTCCCTTGTAAGGGTGTTTGGCTTGCTACAGTGTGACTGTTCTCCACGTTGTCCTCACTGCCTTTCAGTCTTGCCGAGGGCCATGAGAGTATATAGAGTATATAGAAGGTGACAACTAGCATTTGCCAAGTCGACCCACCAGACTCACGGTTCTCCTTACAGTCTAGTGTCTCTGTCTCACGTTCCTTCCCTTTCCCTTGCAAAGATCCCATCAGTTGGATTTGTGGTTCACACTAACTCCAAGCTGGTCACATTCTATCATCGTCCAGGTATAGTTATATTGGAAGATACAAGAATGATGACCCGAACCATGTCTTTGGGGGTGAGGTAATTTCAGTTCACTCCGAGTATCAAAGCTGGGATTTTAGAATGTTGAAATACGTGAAACCAAATGATAATATTGTGGGCAGAAATACCCAATACAGACAAGTGGCCAAAGCATGAAAAAGTGATTTTTCTTGCTCAGCTACTTTATAATGACCGAAGTGTTAACTATTTGGAGAAACTGTTACAAGTGTGCTCCTGCCACTGAGATTAAACTACAGCAGACTTGGAAAGTGTCCCTCCCCACCCCCAGAAGCCATGCAACATTGCAGCATCTATAGAGAGGTTTGTATCCATAATGATTAGAATGATGTTTTAAAAGTCTTATGTGCACAGGTATTTTTTCTTTCTTTCTCTCTTTTCCTTCTCTCTCTCTCTCTTTTTCTTTTGTGTGTGTGTGTGTCTATGTATGAGTGCACATGTGTGTATAGGGCAGAAGTTGATATTTGATGTCTTCCTAAATCACATTCTGATTTTGAGATTGCTTGTCTAGCAAGCCCCAGCTCTGGGATTGTGGGAACACTCCAGTACAACCAGGTTGTAATGGACCTGGGGCTTGAACTTAGGTCTCATGCTTCTACAACAGACATTTTACCAGTGAGCCATCCTCACTGCCTGGGGACTCTTTGCTCTGCTGTTGGTTGGCTAAATACCATGCTCTGATCCCCTGGTAGGGAGTGCTGAAGGTGGTCATCTCTGCACAGGGAGAGAGGTGCAGCTTTCCTTAGACATGGTGACTCTTCCACTACTTCCCCCTCTTTCTCACCTTCTCTTCCCCCTTTTTTCCCCACCCCCATCCTCCCTCTTCCTTCATTCCTTTGCCATTTTCTTTTTGTTTTCCTTTTCTAACTTTCATTTCCATCTTCCCCCTTTGCTTAGCTTAAATTAGCTCTAAGCATGTCTTCTCAAGGATCTGCCTTTGAAGAATTTAGCATCCCAAATGGTGCTAATCTGATGCCTGGTGGCTTCACAGGAGGCTTGGTTCTTCCTAGGCTCCTCACGGGGGTGGAGTTGTTCACACCTCAGAGCCTGCAAGTGGATGGATGAGCCTCTGTGCTCTAGGAGGGAGACACAGACATCACCCTGAATTCCACAGGAGTGGATGTTTTCATCTTTGTCCCTCATTTGCTAACTTAATTCCTTACAGTTTGGGTTTAGATATGGTTATGGGGTTGTCATGTCTAAATGAAAACCTTTGTAAATTAGCATGTAGGAAAATGAGTTCCTTACTTCTGTGCCTCTGTGAAGAGATTTGGAGTTCTCTGTACAACCCCATCTTTTATTTGTTAGTAAAAGTTTTGGAGGAATTTGCTTTAGTCTCTTCTTTTTGTTGAGGAAGACTCAGCAAGGCCCTTCTAAGCTTGTGGCTGAAATGTATGCAGTATGTGGAGTCAGCCATTAGTGGTCAAGTCATTTAGTCAGGAATCCTAGGAGATTTGCTTTACCATAAGCTGAGGGGACAGTCTTACTGAGGTCACAAATGTAAATGCTTCAACAGCTTTGCAAAGGATGCTTTGCTTCTGTTTGTAGTTCTGCATGATACTTTTAGACTGATCCTTAGATCTGTTACTTCTCACCATTCAATATTTGTCTGAAAATGACATTTTTGAGACCCATGGGAAGATTCCCAGGTTTTTGGTCACGTGCTATTACTTGTCACCAAGTGTATAAAGAAACCAAAGTGCCAGATGCCTTCTTAAGTCTATGACTATATTCTCTGCAAGGAGTAGGGAACCCTTTGGGCTCAGCCAGACCTGACGCCTTTGTCAGAAGGAAGCTGAGTGTGGTGGCTCCAGCCCGAATCCCAGCACTTGCCAGGCAGATGGAGGAATGCTGTCAACTTGAAGCCAGCCTGGGAGACTGCGTAGTGAGTCCTAGATTATTAACCCAGGCTGTCCAGGGAGAGCCTGTCTCAAAAACAAAGACCCTGAAGGAATGTCTTGTGTCACAGCTAATGGAAAGCAAGGAGATGGTGTTGCACCACATCTCATTGTTTGGACATGTGTGTGACAGCCTGAGTCTTCCATGCCCTGGTTTACAGTAGGCCAACCTGGTGGTTCCCTGTGGGGCAACCCACACACCAACCCCACAGCTCCCCAGAGTTTTCTTGAATGCGAACAGCAGGAAATATTAGATAGAAGGATTTATTGCAGAGAATCTTGCGGAGATAAACAGATAGAAAATAAAGGATAGCCTCGAGAGAGCCTGGAACCTTTTCCAACAGGCCCAGACTGTCTCTGCCCCAGCGTTTTTATAGAGACGCCAAGGGGTGGAGCAAATGACCTCCTCCCCCAGCACAGCCAAGTGCAGACCATCTCAGACACCTGCACTCAGGCTTGTGGTCCTAATCGTCCTCTGTGCAGACCTGCTGGGTAAAGCCACGAGGAACCCGAGAACGGGCTCCCACAGTTCCCTAGACCACAGCAGGACCAAAGCGTGCTCTGCTCCTCAGAGCCTTGGGCTTTTCCATGCTGTCCCTTGTTTTGATCTCTTGCTGGACTCATTTCCTTGTGTGTTGTTTGAAGGTGCATGTGCTGCCTTCTCCTGTGGGGTTGATTTAGTTATTATGACCCGTGGCTTCAGAGAAAGTGCTGGTCAAGCCTGCATTGGAAATATCTCAATCAGACAACATTAACAAATTCAGTTCCTATTCCTAGACTGAGCCCCACCGAAGAATTTGAAAGGCAAGATCGGTTGGTTACCTTATCTTAGGTAGAATGTCATGTTTGATTGGCCCACACAATTTCATTGTTTTCTTATTCCTTACCAATCTGTCAATCAAAAGATGGCTGTGCACCATCTATATGGCAAAGGGTGCCCTTGCTCTGCCTTGATTAATTTATTAGAAGGGATTCATGTGAGTTTTAGTAGGCTTGGCAGTGGCAAAGCATAAAAGAAAAATAATTATTGAAATAATATATATAATATAATATAAAAATACTATACAATGTAATATACAAGTAAATATTGAAAAATAATTTTTAGCCTGGGTATTGAAGAATGAACCCTAACTGAATCACCCCATTAGTTATGATAACTAAGCAAATGTTGCTGTTGATTGTACAGCTCCTCATTTACATATGTATCTATTTAGTCACTAGTCTTTGAGTCTCCATCACATCTGTCTCTGCAGCATAGGGTAGCCAGGTAACTTGAGTGTTGGGCTGAGGTGCTCTGTGAAGTAGGAGTGCTTCTATTGTGACTTTAATACCATTCAGAAGCCCAGGCTCTACAGCACTTGTGCTGGGATCTTTCTGGGCATAAGGAAAACAGAATGGGCATTTCAGGATTACTAAGTGTGATCAAGGTATCTTATTTTCAATAGAAGGAATAATGGAAGACTTAGAAGTCCACATATTACTGAATTCTATGCAGAAAACAAACCTGTTTATTGGAGAATAATACTCAAATACTTCCATTTATTTTTTTTTATTTTTGAGACAGAATCTCACTGTTTGGCTCTGACTTACCTGTCTTTCACTATGTAGACCTAGCTGGCTTCAAACTCACAGAGATCCATCTGCCTTTGTCTCACAAATGCCTCCTTGCTTCTCTGCATGCCCATGCTTTAGATGGACTTTTATCTAAAAAAACAGAAGCCAACAAATCCGTTTTCTCCTTGATGTCACCTGCAGACTCAGCATTCTACATGCCACAGGGGTATAAAGGAAAAGTTACTGGTTTATTATGATTGTGGAACAAACCTGAAGAACAAATTGTGGATTCAATTTCTTTTTCCCTTTCAGGAAAAGCATAAGCAAGAATTGGAAGACATGAGGAAGGCTGGGCACGAGGCACTGAGCATTATTGTGGATGAGTATAAGGTAGGTTCAGGAGGTTATGCTGACTTTGCAAACCCCAGGGAAAGCTTTACTCTTGGGTATGCAGAATCACACTCAGGTCATAGACCTCTGTGGTGGTATTGTGTTCCCCAAAATATTGTGCATCCTAATAAACTTATCTGGGGTCAGAGACAGAACAGCCACAATATTAAACATAAAGGATAGGCAGTGTTAGCACACGCCTTTAATCCTAGCATTCCAGAGGCAGAAATCCATCTGTTCAAGGATACAGCCAAGCATGGTGACTCACGCCTTTAATCCCAGAAAGCCAGCCTTTAATCCCAGGGAGTGATGGCAAAACCAGAAACAAATATAAGGCGTGAAGACCAGAACTAGAAGCATTTGGCTGGTTAAGCTTTTGGCTGGTTAAGCTTCAGGCTTTCGAGCAGCAGTTCAGCTGGGAGTCATTGGGATAAGGACACAGAGGCTTCCAGTCTGAGGAAACAAGACCAGCTGAGAAGTTGACCAGGTGAGGTTAGCTGTGGCTTGTTCTGTCTCTCTGACCATCCAGCATTTCACCCCAATTACTGGCCCTGGGTTTGATTTTATTATAAGACTCTCTAAGATTCCTGCTACAAACCTCTCCTAGCTGTATGTGTTTGTCAGACCTTTTCACTGTCATAGACCATGGCTGAACACACCCACTGGGAGGGAGGGTTGATTTTGGCTCATGGTTTGGAGATTTCCACTCACAGTCTGTTGACTCCTTGCTTTGGACCCAAGATAAAGCTGGGTGTCATGATGGAGTATGTGTAGCAGAGATGTCCACTTTCTGGCAGCCCAGGAGATGAAGGACAGGAAGGGTCTTAGAAGGACATGTCCTCAGGGACCTACTTCCTCTAGTTGCTTCCCCTAAATATTGAGAGATTAGACCACCATGATTAGTCATATTCCAGGTCTCATCATCTGACACCAAGGTTTTAACATACGAGCCTTTGTGGTACAGTTCAGATCCAGACCATACAGTATTTGGTGAATAAGCCACTGAGTGGAGTAGGTGGCCATTGAAAGTGTACTCAATGATTACAGAGTTACACTAAATATTGTGTTGTATTTGTGAGACTCAAAATATTTGAGACTATTGGCAGGTGAAAGTCTAATGTAAAATAGTATATAATTAATTAATTAGCTAGTTGCCATAGTGTCTTTACCTCTGATGTGGATTTACCTGTTATAGGAAAAATATTAAGATACTAAATAACTTTGAAAAAATTATATACTTTGCTTTCTTTTTTTAAATTAGCTAAATCTATGTTACATCTACAGATTTGTGTATAATTAAGTAGTAACAGGTTATGGTAATGTCATATCAGTGATATATAGTATTGGTATGTGTAGATGAATGGTCTCGTTAAATAAGAAACACAGAGCCAATGCAGAGATGAAAGCCCAAGAGGTCAGAGCTAAAAACCTTACCCTTCACTGCTGCTGTTGTCCTCTTCAGCAAGAGACCTACTTCCTGTCTGTTTGTCCTTTTTATTGGCTTTCTATTCTGCCTTCTCATTGGTTGTAAACCCAACTACATGACCTCCTTGTCACTGCCTGTCTGTACAGACCTCCAGGTTTTCTATGGTTGGTATTGAGATTAAAGGTGTGTGTCTCCATGCTGGCTGTATCCTTGAACACACAGAGATCTGCCTAGCTCTGCCTCCCAAGTGCTGGGATTAAAGGCATACACCACCACCGCCCAGCTTCTGCTATGGCTCTAATAGCTCTGACCCCCAGGCAACATTATTTATTAACATACAAATGAAATCACATTTCAGTACAATTAAAATATCACCATAGGTATGGAGTTCACCAATGGATAGCTACAGATATCCTAAAACTGGAGTTATAGATAGTTGTAAGCAGCCATGTGGGAGCTGAGAATTGAGCCCAAGTCCCCAGGAAGAGCAGCCAGTGCTCTTCACTGCTGAGCCATCTCTCCAGTATTCCTTTTTAACAAGCATGTTTGTATCATTCTCAACACTCGTAGTTAATGAGATGATAAGTCATGATAAGATATGCATTTTGTGATGTTCTTTGCAAATGTCATTTTTGAAGGAACGTGGCTGAGACCTGCTTGTTGCATCTACTTCTCTACTATTGTCACGGTTTAATATTCAAGGAGGACTTAAAGTTCCAGTGTGCTCCATCGTGATTTAATGAAAAGTGTTGGGAATTAATCAGATGGCCTACAGAGTGCCACTGAATTTGTCATATCCTGGATAATGAGTTTCTATTCAGATACCAAAAATTTGTTCCCATGAACTGCTGTGTGGCTGTGTCCACATGCCTCTCTCCTTCCTGACTCTTTGGTAAACTCCATCCTAGCACAAGGGAGTTGAGTCCACTGAGGAGAAACAGCTCAGATACGTTGGGGCTGTAGCATCTTTCCAGCAGGTGCTCTAGAAATAGGCTGTGTAGACAGGCTGCTCTGTCAGCTTTTCCTCTGAGATTGAAACATTAGAGAGCTGTGATTCTTACTGTGGTGCTCTCTGCCCCTCCGAGATATTCTCACCAGTGTCCTTTAAAGCTTCATTCTGTTCCCTTCTCACCTAATTTTGCGATTATTTTTTACCCCTTCTTTCCCCATTGAGTCTGGTTTGTGTGGCCAACTCGTCTTGGGGTTGGGCCTGCTCTGGTATATGGTCAGCCCACCAGCCTACCATCATTGGAGAAGAGTCTCTCCCTCTCCCAGCAGCTATCAGATGCTAACTGCTTCTCAGCTGGTGAGATTGCATGTCCACCTTTCCTCTCTGCTGGGATTCTCTCTGGCCAGATTTAGGAGGGTCTTGTGCTAACACAGTCTCTGCGAGTTCTTACTGCTTCTGCACTGTTGTGTCTAGAAAGCAATTTCCTTGAAGTCGTCCACCTCATCTGGCTTTTAAAAACATCTTTGCAACCCCCTTTTCACGAAGATTCCTGAGCCTTGGGTTAAGGAGTGTGATGTGAATGCTGCCTTAGGGCTGAATATTCCATCTTTTGTTCTGTTTATTGACCAGTTCAGGAGATGGGGGCGGGAGGTCATTGTATTAGCTTGGCTTCTTTATCTGCTACTGCTCAGGTGAGATGTCACTTTTTAAAATGTCCAAATGAAGCAACCTGTAGTGTTTTTGTTTGTTTGTTTGTTTGTTTGTTTTGTTTTTTGGTTTTTGTTTTGTTTGGTTTTGTTTAACCTAACATAGAAATAAGCCATGCCGTGCCATGCCATGAACTTTTCTTTAAGAAGAGAAAGTTCTTATCCACTCTGCAACATTCCTGGATTTATGAAATGAGAGGAATTTAGTTCTTGTGATCCTGCGAATATATGCAAGCCAATCCCATGTTTTAATGACTTTAAGGTTTAAAGTCATTCTATATTAATAAGCTGGATGTTCTATTTTATGCTGTCTATGGAGATTCTACATAATATTGTAGACATTTATTGTAAGGAATGTTTTATAGTGACCACAATTTGTACCTTGTAGCTAAGTGCTCCTAGTAGTAGACCTGGTGGCCCAAGAGCAGAGGTTTTATTATCAGACGTGTATATTAGAGCTGGACTCTGTTGTTGACTCCTGTGACCTTGAGGCAGCTTCTCTGATTATGACATTTATTGTCTTCAATATACAAGGAGTAAAGATGCACCATGGTCATGGGATATTGTACACATGCTGAACAAACCTATCCTATAGGTAATGAGCCCGAGTAGATAGGTGCTGGCTCGTGTGTTCAGCATGTCAGTTTCCCAGCACGTGAGTGTCCTTTCATTATTTTGTGACTGACGACTCTTTTACTTCTGTAATAGGGTGGTACAGATTTTTGTTGCAAACTTTTCAGAAAGACTCGCTTGAGAACAGGAGATGGTGGCCCAGTCCGGCCTTTAATCCTTTTGGGCTCCTATTTAAAAACCAACATTTTTTTATTCATTTAGAAATTCAGTAGTTCACCAGGGCATGAGAAAGACACAGGAAGGTCTGTTATAGAACAGAAGAAAACCAACTGGGAAGACTAGTGTACTGAATATGTGGATTCCCCCATAGTGTCTACTGAGTTTTGTATATTTTCCTTTTTTTTTTTTTTTGGTTTTTCGAGACAGGGTTTCTCTGTGTAACTTTGCGCCTTTCCTGGGACTCACTTGGTAGCCCAGGCTGGCCTTTTATGCACTGATTTTTTTTAACATAACGTAATTATCTTTATTTATTTATTTTACATCCTCACTGCAGTTTCCCCTCCCTCCTCTCTTTCCATTCCCTCCTCCTACCTCCCCTCTACACCCCTATTAACTTCTCCTCTGTTTCTGTTCAGAAAGGGGCAGGCCTCCCACGGGAATCAACAAAGCATGACATATCAAGTTATGGTGAGACTAAGCACCTCCCCTTGTGTTAAGGCTGGGGAAAGCGATCCAGTATGAGGAATATGTTCCCAAGAGCCAGCTAAATCATTAGGGACATCCCCTGCTCCCACTGCTACTAGTCCCACAGTAGATCAAGCTACACAACTGTCATGTATATGTAGAATGCCTAGGTTGGTCCCATGCAGGCTCCCTGGCTGTTGGTCCAGACTTTGTGAGCTCCTGTGAGCTCAGGTTAGTTGTTTCTATGGGTTCCTTTGTGATGTTTTTGACCCCTCTGCCTCCCTCTCTACAGCAGGATTCCCTGAGCTTGACCCAGTGCTTGGCTGTAGGTCTCTGCATCTGTTTCTATCAGTTACTGAATGAAGGCTCTCTGATTACAGTTAGGGTAGTCACCAATCAGATCACAGGAGATGGCCAGTTCAGTGTCCACTATTGCTAGGAGCCTTAGCTGGGGTTATCTTTGTAGATTCCTGGGAGCTTCCCTTGTACCAGGTTCCACCTGACCCTGAACTGCCCACCCCCTACCCTGCCCCCTGCCACTTCCAGTCATCCCTTTGAGTACTCTCCCCTTCATCCATTCTCCTAACCTGATCCCTCATATTCCCATCCCCACTTGTGCCCCCAGTCAACCCAGGAGATTTTTTTCTATTTCCCTTTCTCA